ATAAATAAATAAATAAATAAATAAATAAATAAATAAATAAATAAATATCTCCTAGTAACTTCTCAAATTAATTAATTGTATTAAACGTAAAACTCTATAGCGAAGAAAATTCCAACCATTTATTCGATGACGTTAAGAAAATATAAATTATTAATAATTTATTGAGAATAGAATAATATATTTTGTTTTTCAAAATGTTTATTATATAATACAAAAAATTAAATGTATTTAAATTTAATTTTAAAAATGTATTAAAAAAAAAACCAAGTAAGACAGAGGTTAAGCATGTTTATATCAATATTTTTAAATCTCACGCAGCTTCAAAATTATTAATAATGTTAATAATGTTAATCCGATCTTTCGTCTAGTATTAGAGAAGTGTTTACAGTAATAATCTTTTGTGTTGATCGAAACACAATAATCCAAAAATTTTAGACATAACTGGCCATGAATCTTCACATATATCATTCTAGATCATTAATATAAATGCCGGTTTCAGTGGCGTCTGTGGTATAATTACAATACGAAAAAACCTACATCAGTCTACAGACGCAGCAGCTGACGGTTTTTATCCTGATGGCTGAGGAAGTGGCACGAGTCTACTGACAAAAACGGGGGACAGGTGGCTAACACGACCGATCGACAGGTGGCCCCGACAGTTGGAACAGCTTTTAAATACCGACGCCTTGTACAAAAAATAATAATAATAAATAAAAATAAAAACAGCATGGTCACCTGCTCAACAAGTGGTCGTTTCATCACAGATCAATTATATTATATATGTAAGTCTAAATCTAAAAAGAAAAATAACATTTAATTCGATTAGACGAGCCATACAATATTTATTACATATATTTATGATTATAGAGGATCCACGAGTTGTACTATCTTAAAAACCTGATTTAGAGTAGGCTGTTTTCCAATAATTATCTCATCTTGACACGTGCGCGAGACCCGGGTAGTTAGTAATATATAAATATATACATATACGTATAAATTGTGGCTTATACATGAATACCTGTATTATATTTATATAGCCGAAGGGCAGTTTCTAGAGCTGTGTAATATATACATAATGTGTATACGGCAGTGCACGGCAACACGGCGTGCGGTCGCCGACGTATATGTAGAAACTTAATCTGATGTAAATGTGGGTAATAAAATCCAATCAACCCTTATGAAACAAAACTGCATTTCTTCGTAAAATTCCCCTTTAATATAATGTGTTGGCGTAAGAAAGAATACCAAGCTCTGTACATATTATCTACACACTCGTTTGAACACGACGACCCCTTAGAGAATAAAAAAAACATTTATTTAAAATATATATATATATGTATATATCATATTTAAGCAGTGTATTTATTTCTAAATGTTCTACGTTAGTTATTTAAACTATATTTACTGAAAAAAAAGATAAAATAAATTTCAAAATTAATTTAATTAATAGGTACTCAGACGAATGATTAAAAAAGGTTAAGAAACCATGTAACTTCAATACGATATGTCCCAGAAGGTCATAGTTAACAAAGCGGAGAGTTAGTGTTAAAAAAAATAGCAGGTTACAATCGATGTGGTTTACTCGGGTAAATTAGTCGTTTTCTATGAATTCTCGTGCATTCATCACTACTTGCATCATCAGAAATTGATTTTAAATTAATTATTGTAAAGAATTGTTGTAAATGATGAGGAATATTGACTACGAAGCGGATAGTACGCCTTTAGATACGAACTGAATGAAAATACCGAATAATCGGTTAAATTAATCACATCGTCAATGGAGTATAATATATATTATAATACAATCCATGGTAAACAAAAAATTAAATACACCAATAGTTTCACGACACCGCGTGGCACGTATACAATTATTCGGATCGGTAAATGTTTAAGTTTCTAATTTAATGATCCTAGAAACGTACGCTGAGCATAATGGTAAGTGGATCATACACATGCGAGTGTACACGTATCTATATAAATATAATACGCATAATATAGTGTAAATCAACGTTCTGTCTATAGATCGTATTTGGCGTTATTCACTTACAAAACGTGCGTGTAATTGAGTACAGATGTTTGTGAACGTACAGAAAAAAACCCAAAAAAGTAAGAAGATAATATAACCAGGCGTGTAATTTATGTCAAGTAAAATCGACCGGTCGTCCAGATGTTCGTGATGTCATTATGACACGTACGATGTACGATTCCGATCGAAAGTAGAACGAAGCGAGCGCGTGCTACAAAAACGCGCGCGCCGGGGGTTTAGAAGGATATAAAACGAGTGCGTACGGCAGTACGTCAGGAAAAAACGCGGATAAAACGATAGTAAATTCGTTTGGCCGAAAACGATTTTAGTGCGGAGAAGCGGTGGAGACAAACAGAGAAAGAGATGGAGTGAGAGAGAGATCGAGAGAAAGGTTCTAGACGGTGTGCCTATACCCGTACGCGTGCATCTTTTGTACCACAACGACTCGGGTGACGGGTGCGCAGGCGACAAAAGAGCGCCTAGACGGAGACGAGAAGGATAGGAAAAGGAATATATTATTATTACAAGGAAACGTACGGCGTTGCGCAGCGTTTATCGTGGATCGCGCGCGCGTGTGCCGCAGGTGACGGGCCGCTTGCGCATTCCCCAGATTTTCACCGCTCGTGTAACCTATGCTCCGCGCGATACACCTGCGAACACACCAGCTGCGCGTACAGCCACCGAAGTATTTTCGGGGGAAACGAGCGTGGAGCACGCGCTCGCGCGTTCCACAACGTTACACGGACAAAAATATGCTAAGACGATGACAAAAGACGGAAAGCGAAAAGGACACGCCATTATACTATTGCATTGTAGTATTGTTCGCGACATTTTGCAGCCGCGGTGCGAGACGCGAACGTCTGAGAGCATTCAATACACATGTGCGCGTTTCACGCGCGGAACAAGAAGAAGGGAAAAAGACAATGTCCTGCAAAGGGCTAAAAAAAGCGTGTACGGCGTACCCGAGAAGAAGAGAAGGAAAAGAAAGAAAAGGAAAAGAAAAAAAGACGACGGTTGTATATTATATTTATAATGCGTACGCAAGACGTGCGGCGATTGTCTCGTGCTCGGCCAGCTGAAAACGGCTTTACACGCGCCCGCGCGCGCATTTGAACGGTATACGTGTGTCGGGCACGCGCCCTTCGTCTACATAATATATGCGCTATACTATAATATAGTTGGCTTCGATACACGCGCGTAGACGCAAACACCCGGCTCGGGTCGTCTCCGAAGACGATTGGTTTTTATGCGTGCTCGCGCCCGCGACGACGGCAACGACCCTCGGAGTTATGCTTAAGGATTATAATGATGATGATAATAATAATAATAACTCGTATAGGTGTGTGTGTGTGTGTGTGTGTGTGTGTGTGTGTGTGTGCATCTGTGCACATACCTGTACGGCAAGAGGAACAACGGGATCGTGCCATACGTGGGGTGGGGTGTTGATGGTATAGCGGCGCAGGAGAGGACGGCAGCTGGTTCCGTCGGAGAAGACGACCGTCGGCGTAGGTGAGTTGTGCAGCTTGCAAGATGCTTCACTGTTAAGGACGCGCTCGAAGGACGAAGACGGTGGCATTACAATGCCGTATACGTGTCTCGTGTGCACTTAATAATGTAAGAGAATAATATAAAGCGCGGTGGGATCAGACAACGTAAGGTCTTTTTCGGCATCTGCGGCGGCGGTAAGCCCACAGGCGCAGGGTCAGAGACGCACGAAATCCATCTGCTGTCGCTGCGGCTGATTTGACTGGTGGCAAAACCCGAGACGCAAGTCGGCGTATTATTGTGTGTGCGTGTGCATGTATTAATAATATAGGTTATCTCATAATTTGGAAGATCGTTGCAAAATGATCACCTGCGTGAACCAATTCATCTCCAAATCATTGTTAAACGGGTCCTAGTAAACTATGGTTCCGGACATACAAGGCACGACCACTATACTATAGACCATGGATGGGCAACTCAATGTAACGAGAGGGCCAAAATTTATAACTTTAAAATCATAGCGAAGAAAGCAAAAATAAAATTTTTAAAATTGACAATTAGCATTTGTTTTAAATAATTTAATTTCACGACTGAACCAACACAATAAAATAAGTTTTTAATAGTTATAGCAAAGGTACCTATAGCTAGGGCCTCCACAAAGGGGGCTGATGGACCTCGAGTACAGGGGCCGGTTATTTTAAGGGCCCGTGAGCCCGTTGAAATTTATTTGTAATTTTTGAAATTTTAGTAGAAATACTTATTTTATATTAAATAATATTTTATGTATATATTTATTTATTTTGATAGTTCAAAATGCGGATTAACCAATGATTACCTAAAAATGAATGGATTGGCTTCGACAATTAATTTTGACGATATCATTACTGAGTTTGCTGAGCTCAAAGCCCACAAAACAAAATATTAATTTAAAAAACATATATTAAATATAAATTAAAATATACTTGTTTTTTCTTTTTTAATTTAAATAATAATGTAATAAAAAAATAAAATAGATATTATTAATGTTGAAATGCTTATGAATCTTGAATTTGAATCGGTATAATGAAAAAAACAAATATTATTCCTGAAATTGTTATATATATAAATAGTAAATTGTATTTTTTGAAGTTTTATAAAGGGCTCGGACAACCATTTAGTGTAGGGGCCCGAAATTGTATGTGGGGGGGACCTGCCTATAGCTATTCCGATATGGATATATATTTACTATATTAGAGAAAAATATGTCTACATTTTACGATCAACGTGATAAATGTAAATACTGATAAACGCTAAAATGTTATGGAGTAATTTGATAATCTAACATGAGCCAAATAAAAAAGTACACGGGCGACCAGTTGCCCATTCCTGTTCTATAAACTACTATACTAACGGACACATCTATCTGTAAAACTATCATTTACACGTGCGTAACTCGACAATTTGATTGCGTAAACGCCGCTATAACTTCACGGAACTCTAATTTTTTTTTCAGATTCTCTATCAAGCTTCACACTGTCTGCATATCAAACATCTCGTTTTATCCACATTAAAAATTAGTGAAATCAGGTTAGGAAGGCGTCGACTGCAAGAGGGTAGGGGGAGTACGTGATCCAACGTCTGTCACCCAAGATCTGTATTTTAAATTCATAGTGTATACAGTTAATACCGATGCTAAGGAACTTCATATACATTATGCAGCAGATATGAGTTAATTTCATTAAGACCTCTGACAGTAGCGTATATGTATAAGTGGAGTAAGGGTGCTAGATCCGGACCCATAGTTGTATATCAGATTTAATTAAATCATTTTATACGTAGTGCTTTGTATACATGTATACTTTATTACATGACCATCAACCATGACCCGTAACTAAGTTGTTTTTGAATGTAAGAGTTTACTTTACCGACTGTGATTGATAATGACTGATAGTGGTGCCTTTAAACACCAGGTCGACTTAAAAAACATTTTTGAGGAAACAAGGAAATGTTAGACTGTTGGGAATTGCGTTTATGACAATTACATATCTAACATATCATTAAGTATTGAGGAATAGTTAATATTTTTATTAAAAGCAATAGAAAAAGTAATTTTAAATAATAGTCATATTATAAATTAGTTTCCATGTAGGTTCCTCAAAAAAGTTTTGAGTCTAGCTAGTATTGAAAAATGTGTAAATCATTATATATTATAATAATAATAAATACATGTATTTAAAACTAAATTTCTACAACTTCTATTTGTATAGTTTATGTTATAATTAAAACCACCTGACCCCATAACATTTCTATTATGACTATTTTACACACACATAATTCATACATACACACTTTTATCTATATACATTTCGAGTATTACGCAAGCCAGTAAAGTAAATTGAACTAGATTTTTAGAGTTGCAGACAGTTTGTAAGATAAACAAACTTGAGAGAGGCTTATCCCCACATCTCTTTAATCCTTAACTAACTTTTTATAATATTCTGAATTTGAATAAAATTTATTACAGTTACATTTAAGTTAATACTTTATAATAAATTGTATATAAGTAAAACAAATAGATATTGTAAAATAAGATATCAAGAAAAGAACACATTTTTGAAATAAAATTAACAAAGACTGAACCTAATTCAAATCTCGCGACACATGTTTTAGAAAATAACGATAATATACATTTTGATATCAATACTGAATAGAAATATTAAATATCCAAAATAACATTTACATTAATTCAGTTTTAGAAGAGTTATGCATACACAATGAAATAAAGAAAATTAATTTTAATTATATTTTATATGTACAAACCTACTAAACTATTTATTTATACATTAATTTATAAGTGTTAACCATTTACTTATGGGCGGAAATCCATTGAAAAAGTTGGGGGAGGCTACGATTTTTCTCATAAACCAAAGCCGTGAGAGACTACACCCCTTTACACCACCTCATAAATGATCCTAAACAAATTTTGAATTTAACATTGGAAAGAATTTTATTTAACGACTGAACAAAAATATAAAATTACTGTCCAATTATATTTTTTTTATATTTAAAATTTTATAATATAGGTATAGATACTGTATTAGAAAAAAAAAATACTATGAAATAACAGTCTTGTTGAATGGTTAAATATATCTTAATATATATCTAAATATATCTGGTAAAGTAAGTGCTACTTGTAAAATGTTGTAAATATTTGGAAAAATTTCTTTTTTTATTGTTGTTTTTAAATCGTCAATGTTCAAATCATTGTTGATTTTATTTATGTAATTTCTAGCAACAGTCATTTCTGATTTAATATTTAGTTGTTTAATATCCAATAAATCCTAAAATATAAAATATTATTTTTGAATTTATGTTATTTTACATATTTAAATCTACTTCAAAAATATAAAAATAATATTATTTAGTTAATTTATATTTTATATTTTATTTTTAAAATTATAAAAATGAAAAGGCATAAGTTGTATAATACCTATATGGATATGTAGTTATTTTCTATAACTCAAACTAAAAATGGGCATTTCTAAGAGAGGGGATATAAAAATATAATAAATATTAGCTTATAATAACCAATAAATATCAAACCTCCTTCATAATTAAGTAGCATAAATTTGTCAACAGAAATAGCTAAACACTTTACACACAAAACTCAATAGTAAAAAAATAAATAGTATATAATATTACACACGAGTACGATGTACCACAGCAGGGGCGGATCTTGGATATTTTGAAAGGGGGGGGCACATATAAATTATAATATAATTTAAATTGTAATTAATAAAACATACTATACCATTTTTAAACAATACTGGTAATATATTTAATATAATGTTGATTACATAATATCACACATCAAAATAATAATTTATACTTATAGGTAATTTAAAGTTATTATACATATAGTTATATTAATAAGAAAAAATACGTTTATAGATTCTTATACTTTATTGCCTTATAGGTCGAATTGAAGTCTTCGTTTATGTTTTTTAGCAAACATGTCCAACACTTCTTCTGGATTTACTTGAATATCTTTATTTATATGTAACATTGCTAAACCATTAAGTCTTTCTTGGCCCATCGTTGATCGTAGGTAAGTTTTAATCCTTTTTAAAGAGCTGAATGACCTTTCAGCACTTGCTGTGGTGATAGGTATGACACTAAGAATTGTTAAAAGGCATTTAATTTTAGGGAACATAGATGCATATTTAAAAGCTTCCATTGAAGAATCAACTTTTTCTGACTTATTTTTCCAAAGTTCTTTCCATAAATTTAACTCTCCGCGTAGTGCTTCAATACTATGCGGTAAATCTGCTTCATATGTCTGAGCCGCATTCAATATCTTATTGTCTGGACATTCATAGGCAAAATAATACTTAGAAATGATTAATTTCAAATTAGAAATAACTAAATCATTATTTTCACGAAAACGTGAATTTAATTCAGATATAAGATAATCCAAATAAGGTAAAAAATAGTTAACGTGGTAGAATTCAGATAAGTCAGTTGATTGGGGCTGAGCGTTTGCACGATTACATTGTGTTTTTGTTACTCTTGGAATTCTTATATCAACGTCCATTTTTTCTGCAATTATTTTTGTTTCTTCAAAAATATTTTTAAATTCAGTTTTTGAATTTTTTCTTATTGTATTTAACACATTTTTAACATTATTGATCATTTCTATGGATTTTGTATAGTCAATATTAATACTCTGTAACTGTATTGAAAGTGGAAGTGTTATGGCTAAAAATTTTGTTAATATTTTTAAGGAAATCAAAAATTCAAATTTACAAATAGCTGCAGATAGAGATTGTGCATTGCTTCCTGTATGGTTGCTAAAGCTTAATTCATCTAATGTAACTATTATAGCTGGTAATATTTCCAAAAAATGTAAAATTCCATCATGTCTTTCGACCCAACGTGTTTCACACAACTTTTTAGCTTTTACTGCTTTTTGGAATGGAAAAAGTTCTGTTATTTTTTCACTTAAAAGTTGAGTTCTTAAAGCTGATTCTCTTAAGAAATTATAAATGTTAGTTATTATTCCGACTGTGTTGCGAATTGAAGGTACTGTGCTTGCTTTACTGAGCACTAAATTTAATCTGTGGTTAGCACAGTGTGTATAAAATGCAAGAGGCTGTAAACTTGCAATTCGAGATTGTACTCCTTTAAACGCACCACTCATATTCGCAGCACCATCATATCCTTGTCCTCGGAGCTGTGCAAGATCTAAATTTTTTTCTTTTAATATTTGTATTATGGTGTCAGCTAAATATTCACCAGTTACATGTTCAATTTTTGTGAATCCAAGAAAATGTTCCTGTACTGAGCATGTGCTCGAATCAAAATACCGAACACAAAATGAAAATTGTTCAGAAATACTTACATCAGTCGTCTCATCAGCTAAAATACTATAAAATTTTGAAGCATGAACTTTTTGAATTATTTTATCATTTATAACATTTCCGCAGTAATCAATTAAATCATTTTGCGTCGTTTTACTAATATAAGTAGTATTTTTTGTTGCGGTTTTGAAATGCTCTTTTAAAATTTGATCTCCAGCGTTAATACGAAATTCTAATAAAGCCTTAAAATTTCCTTTATGATGTTTAATATTGTCATCAATAGAATATATAGAACAATCATCTCTATGCCCTCGCAAGGAAATATTTTGTAGGCCACAAAATAGTATGGTTTCAATAATAGGGATTAACTTTTGCCTATTTTGTTCAACTTTACGTGTCATAGCAGTGTCTAATGCTGTTTCTATATTTTGTATTTTTCCATTCATAACACTTATGAAATTATCAGATTTAAAAACACAATTCTTATGGTATTCATTATTTTGATGAGCCTTAAAATTTTCTTTTGCTTTTTTGTAAAGAGATAATGGTACTGTGATTAATTTTCCTAGTTTTACACGACTACGACCTCCCTCGTCGCTACCAAATAAAACGCATATTCTACAAAAAGCTCCTCCGAATTTTTGGCTATATGACAACCAGGGATACTCATTTATCCAGTGAAGTTTAAAAGAACGATTTTTATCTCCTTGAGAAATTAGAGGGAAAAGAAAATTTTCATGTGGAACCCACGGATCACAAAGAACGTCATAAAGTTCGTCGTCTTTTATTTTATTAAATGTAATACCAACATAATTACCAATATCTCTAATATTTGCAATTTCAGTGGCAGGTGAATAAGTTGAGGTGGATTGATCGTCTTTATTTTGGGGCATAATTCCATTTTCAGACTTTTTGTTTACAATATTATCATCTAATTTTGTTTTTTTAAAAAACGTTAATATATTTGTTTTCTGACGTTTCTTCTCCATCATATGTATTTATACGTATTATATAAGTTTTAACTCGAAATAAAAATAAAATCTAAAAAAAATAAAAATGAAAATAAATAAAAGAATGAATGAAAAAAATACAGTTTGGTTCAGTTATTCTTAAATTAATCGCCCGTTAATTCTCTATAGGTGCAATTTACAGAACATATTTCTTAACTACAATTTACAAATCAGAAAGGTAGAGGTATTTATAAGCGTCAATAGATATAACCTTAAAAAAGATAAGGCATTTAAGGATATATTTTGGGTTTATTTTATATTATATAAAAAAAAAAAAAGATTCTGAACGAAGATCAGTTGAATAATTTTAACCGACGTCGAACACCTCGAAAAAAGTCAAAAGTTTCTAAAAATTGTACCACGTATAGGTAATGCCAATATAAACATTTGGTGAAAATTTCAGGTTTCTTCATTTTTTGGTTTTTGAGTAACCGCAAATTAAAAAACTTGATTTCGTCGAAAACGGGTTTTGCACAAAAAGTACCGTTTTTTCGTCATTTTTTGGGGGTTTTTCCCGCCGCATTTGAAAGCTTTTGGGAATTTTTACTTTTGACCTCTCTAAGGTACCTTATAACGATAAAACATTAAAAGCTGTGATTCCTATTTTCTCAGTTTAAATGCAAATAATAACATTATAATAGTAATAATTAGTAGGTAGTTATTATTCTTATTTACTGAATTTTTCATTTATATGATACTCATAATTACATTAAAACAATTTTCAATAAAAATTTGACAGGGGGGCACGTGCCCCTGTGCCCCTCCTCTGAATCCGCCCTTGTACCACAGGATATGAACTAAGTAAAATAATGATGAGTGATAAATGGTTACAACTTACAATTAATGTAAACTATAAATAAAATATTATCGTGTATTATTTTTCTTTGCCGCAATCATTATATCGACCATCGGCAGTATTGGTTTTACAAATTAATATAATTTTATATATTTTGTTTTATTCGACGGACGATAAAACAAAACACTAAAGGACAGTGTTTGGAGTGTTCCAACTTATCATTTTAATTTGTCATATAAAATATTATGTAAAATATTTTACAAACAAATTTTTAGTATAAAAAATGATTATGTGTTATTTCTTGTTTTTTAAGAATATAATATATGAAAATAAAACTATAAAATTAAGCCCTCCCCCGATTTTCGTCAATGCATTTACTAATTCTTGTTTTATTTTATTATAAAATAAAGCTATGCTACTGCAGTCCATCAACAGGAATTTAAAGTTTAAATTTTCGACATTTAAATTTAATAAAGATAATTTAAGTTGAGTTTAATTTAACTTTTATCTTAACTGATTTTTGGTGTAGGTACTATTTTTACCTAGATAAAAAAGTATTTATCTAAGCTCAACATTGGCAATAATACGGGTACAAAGACTGATGCAAATAAACGGGTACCCGGTCTGAAACAAATACTCGTGTACGCGGTCTTAAACAATTACACGAGTACACGGGTTTTAACGTTAATTTATCAGTGTACTTTTTTTACACGGATTTTAAAACTGTTTTGTTAAGAACACGTATAATAGGAAGTTCTAATTTAGACATTGATTCTAAAAATAAGTTTAAAAATAATTTTAAAATAAGTTTATTATTATGTTATTGATATTGTAGTTGTGTATAGTTTTTATATTTTTAAATTAAATATATTTTTATTTTTTGAAAACTGTACACATGATATTTTAGGGCTACAAAAGATACTCTTGTGACCATGTGATATTTTCAGCGGTCGCAAGTACGACCCTGTGTGATCCCCAGTTTACGCAGTTTACAGTGTATTACAAGTTCAAATCAAATGTAAATAAAAAACATTCGGATAATGTGTGATCGACGATCGAACACAATCAGTTAGTTGTGTATAAAAGTATATACCTCGTATCTATTCATGGTATAAAATGATTATACATTTTTAATCGTATAAATGTAAAATTACTTTACTATTACTTTACAGTACCGTACCCAAAAATATTTCATTGGAAAGTTTACAAAGGAAGTTCGTTATATGATATTATTCATTTATAGATAATTAGATAATAATATGCTAGTTTGAAAAAAATTAAGTAGTAAATTTACTAAGTCCACCTAAGAAGTAGAACAATTATAGTTTTCGAAAACAATATTATTTTGGAAGATGCCCCTTTGTCGTCGTTCCTGGTCCCCTGAATTCACTCCTTGCTATTGTTTCACTATTACGACATGATGGTATATTGGTAACTTTACAATAATAATAATAATAATAATAATTAATAGTCGATGCAGATACTGTGCGATGTTTCCAGTAAAGCATAACGGTCGAGCACACTATTGGGAATTTGAGGTTAAGTAATGAAACACGATAAAATTATTTTTGACCATTATAAGAAAAACAAAAATTACCATGATTTGAATATAAAAATAACTTTATATATTATAGGTTTGACTGGACTAATGAAGCTATTATTAAATTTATTTAGCATAGTGAAAGTAAAAGTAATTACATTTTCGCGTTTTATTTAATTAATTATAAATTCAAAATCAATAATTGAACCTGAATAAATTACATATGTAGATACAATTTTATAAAATTATATATATAATTTTCAATAAACCCCAATTTAATAAAAATACATCATAAATATGATGAATTCAAATATTTTTAGTTCTAATTAAGATATAAATATATATTTTAATAATATATAGTTTTTCTCAATTTCTGTCGTAAGTTCTAACAATTTTAAAAGCAAGAAATGCTTTAATTTAATTTGATGAACATTTAAATAAGTTCTGTTCAAAAAACATTTATTTAAGTAATAGTTTATAATTTTCAATTCAAAATATATATGTATAATAGTGTCCTTGGCTTTTGTTCAGGTAAAACAAGTGAAATAGTTATAAGCATTTGGATAATAATGCATTAAGAAACATTTTTTACAACCACAAAAATTATCTCACAATTTATAAATTGATGATGTTATATAACTATATTGTTTTTTTTTTTTCTTAAATCTTTTTAAGTATATAAACTATCCATTAGGTGTATGTACAATATTTTAGTAGTATGTAAAATATAATTATATGCTTTATATATTTTGTAAATCTATTTCATTTTATTGTATATAATACGTTTTAATAAATATAAATTAAGAGAACACTCATTCATGCAAGAATGGAAAAAAGTACGCCAATAATCCTCCCCTTCGCATACGCGTGGACTTAGGTACATTAGAAAACGTTCAGTGACTCAAATCCCGTTAACCACCATGGAAAACAGCAAGGGATCTTACTAGAGAAAAATTTAATATAGTTAAGTTCTAAATGGGAAAGTGACTGGACAATAGAAAATCCAGATGCCCAAAAATTTGTAATTCACCCAACTATCAAACAACCAGGATTTGAGCTCAAAATAAATACTTGAGTAACACTAAACCGCAAGCCCTATTTTTTAGTAAACCCCGACACAAAGTATGTATAGACTGAAATTGGATGTGTGTACTATGGATTTGAGAAGTGTGTACCTATTAAATACTATAAAATAAGACTTGGTTCTATGAAAGTGTTTTTCAGGAATCCATTTTAAGCAACATTTGATGAGGATTTAAATATATTTATTAAATTTGAAATTATATATCCTACATTAAAATAAAGAATTTCTAAAGAGTTTTTAGATTTATACCAGATTTAAGTATAATATCAGTTTAAATAATAATAACAGATTGGTAGTTACCTAATTATAATGTGCAATTTAATTAATAAAAAAGAACAGTTACATTAATATTTTCAATCCTATTTGAAAAAAATTAAGTAAAATACAGGTTTAAAAAAAAAATCCAAGGGGGAGATATATCTCTCTAATCTCCCCCCTAAATACGCCACTGCTTACAGAAAATATTAATAAAATAAAGTCCAATAAAAAAATATATACACATCCGGTCATAAGTATTTCAAAAAAAGCTTTATTATATAGGTATTTTGTTGCAATATATTTATTGATCGTATTAGTTGTGCAAAAGGTAAAAATAAAAGCAAAAGTAAAAATTTGATATTTTAGCATATTTATATGATAGATACTTATATTATGAATGAAGTTCAATCATTTCAAGATGATACCAATTTGTGTGATGATATTTATCACATAAATCAACATAAGTGTTAATAGTTCATTACTTACATCATGTTATTATGAGCATAATATTAACATATTTTATAGTTAGATGTAGAGGCGTCATTGGGAGAGGGGGACAGACTATGACAAATGCCCCACTCTAAGAAATTTTAAAAAGTCGGCAATTTTTTGTCCGACGATCAAATGCTAAAAATTGGTAAACAGTAAATTTTTGTTTACTATTTTTTACTCAGAAATAAGATAATATTCTTTTTTAAATACATGTTCATGGTTTATTAGAAGTTAGGAAACATTGGCTCCTCTTCAGTTTATGACAATCGTTATTACGAGAACCTTATAAACTTTATTTTTGGTATATTATATATTTCTATATATCGGATCTTTATAAAACAGTTTTTGTGATATCGATACCAAAAAATTGAGCTCATACGAGGTGCGTACTGGCCCACCGTGATACCGATAAAATCCCGGTAGGCCATCTCAAGAATTATAAGACCTAGGTCCCTTACGAAATAGGTACCTATAGTTTCAGTTAAATTCAGTAGTTTTATTATTTTTAACAATTACAATACAATACTGATGGACAGTCGACTTCATAATTTAGTACTCAATGGGAAATGAGTAAAACACGCAATTTTTCGAATAATTTAATTGATTTGCTTTTGGTAAATATATCTGTTACCATTATTTCGATTATTAAGATCATGCGATTATTCCATTTGATTATTCCCATCACTGGTTGTAATATTACCAGCAGAATCGGT